CGGTGGGGTGGCCGATGTCCAATATTCAGTTTTAAGGCCGATACCGATAGGGGGCCGATTATATCGTGCATCCCTACCTCACCCTTTTCTTTTTAATCTTAGTTCAATAATCTATTGTAATAATTTGTGTTCAAATGGGTCTGTAGGGTTGGAGCAGCATTCTTTCCTTCAATGATGCTCTCTAGTGACAGTGGGGAACCACTGACTGACATGTTGGTTAAAGGTCTCTCATTGGTGGTCGGTTTGGTTTAGGTCTAATCATTTTGATGGCCATAGCATGTGACTAATATCATTTTCATGCTTATTAAAACATTTACCAAACGATGGCTGCATTCATCTCAGAGGTCATCACTCCCTTTGGGAAATAAATGCTTCATCAAAGGATGGAGGTGATCACTGGGAACAACTATGTATTGATTTGTAATAGCACTTCCCTCAAGGGGATCAGATCCATCTGCTGATAGAATCTAAAAGAGTCCTTCACCTGGTACACTGAAAAAAAGACTTTAAGGTACTGGAAATATTACCTTGAGTTAAATGCAATATTTACTGATAATTGCCTTTATTTCAAAATGACAACTTTTATTTCATGTGTTACTTAGAATTAATTAAAGTAAATCTATATCCATCAAAAGACAAGTCAAATGTTATTTATTTTACCAAATAATATTAAGATAACAATTCAGTTCCCAACTTAACAGATGCTAGTAAAATGTGAGTATAATGGGTTTCCATGTTCTCCCCATGTTTACATGCGTTCTCTCTGGCTACTCCAGCTTCCTCCCATGTCGAAAAAGAACATGAGTGTTAGGTTAATTGGCTTCTCTTGATCCTCATGATCATATGTTGCATGTCTCTGTGTAAAAATTTAATAGCAAAACAAAAGTACATATTTTGTTAATAAGAGACATTTGTTAGTAAAATCTATTTGAGTTTGTTTGTTAGATCAACTCTTCTTTGTAAGTAAAGTCATTTTAGTTTTTATTGAGTGAAATTTATGAAGAATTTCAATGAGGAAATAGTTACGTAGCTTTTTCTAAGTAAATAGAAAAATCTTTTTTTTTCAGGTTGCTTGTCAAACATCAGTGGGGGAAAAGCCTCAGTGTACAAAAAGCTGACGAGTTAAAATCAGCCTGTTTATGTCAGTTAAGTCTCAGGTTTAATATGTGCTGATGCAGCCATGAGTTGTTTCCATCCAACAGGGTTGGGATATAGATGTGACCCAGCATGCTGCAGGTTTAAGGTCTAAAAATTGGTTTTGGTTGCTTATACCTCAGATGAAGTCAATTAGGCAGTGAGTGAAATGCATAACCCATAAACTGAAAAAAGAAATGGGTAATATTAGGTAGCCTGACGTAGTCCTACTCAATTCTAGTCAGAATATGAGTCTGTTGCTGCTCCATAGAGCTGTGATTAAGGGGCGTGTTTTGAACGAACCAGGAAAAAAAATGCCTCTGCACTCCATTGGATAGACCTACAACCAATAAGAGCAACGGAGTGCGTGACGTATGTTAAGCGATGCATAGTTGTTGTCAACAAAAATCAAAGCGTGCAGTTGCACGCCTAGAATAAGAAGATGAGCCTTGATCGCGTTTCTCTGTTCCTCTTTTAAAATTAATTTGCTGTCGATATCTTCTAGAACAGACCTAATAGCAGAATCTACTCACCTCAACTCTCCGGCGGCAGCCATTGTTGTTGTCACCCAAGCGCGCTTTGGTCACGTGGTTGATTACGTTACTGTTGCTCATCTGTCCATCATCGTATAAAGCCCGCCCTGACAATTTGATTGGATCGCCAGAGGGTGGGTGATCATACTCGCGCTACTATGGAGCAATGCCAGACCGAACTTCCCGACCTCAAACCTTGTGGGCGGGACTAAGTTCAGAATGGCACCCAGGCTAAATATTAGGGTAGATTAATCCAAAGTTGTCTTGTTAAACAAAAAACAGCTGACCACTAGGCTGACAGTGTTTTTACCCAAAATCAAAGCATCAAATAAGCTTAAATGTTACAGAAAAGGGCTGGGTGATTTAGCTTAAAAATCTAATCTCAGATTTAAAAAAAAAATCACAAGATTTTGTTGATAAAAATGACAAAATACATACTTTACTTTCAAAAACGAGCTTTGATTTAAATAATCCCCTTTAGGAGGTAACCTCAACTTAAAGGACAACACAATTCAAGCTGTGAAAATGCTTGTAAAACAATGTTTCGCAACAAAAAAAATGAAAATATTACAGACAACTTGTTTGCAGCTATAGGTGTATCACACAGTGAAGTAATTTATCAGATGTCAGAAGACATCTACGAACAAAACGTGACGGACAGATGTCACCCTTTGGAAGGCCAAGAAATGT